AAATATTTCTATAGGATAAGCTAATTCAACGTTAGTCAATAATAGTTTATGAAACATATTTTCAGGGTTTGGAGAAAAGGATTTGAAAGCCAAATAAAAGGAATACTTAAAACAATGATCATCTTAAAACCACAGTTTTAGTTAAAATCAGAACACACTCATGAGGATTTTCTCTCTTATTGTACTTTTAAATACATTTTACACAACTACATTTAATTGCATTTTACACAACATTTTATGAAATATGTGTCATAAAAAGGTATGTGATATGGTAAGTAAATTCTGGTAAAGAAAGAAAAATATAGTATCAGGAACCTGAATGAAAAGCTTGGTTGAAGATGTAAATAGAAAATAATTTCCAGTTGCCAGAGTAAGAAGCCAAATTTTGGAAATGAAATGTAAAGTAATAACTTTCAGGAAGTCATTGTTAGGCAGAAGAAATCGCACCATGGAATTAGAGCTTCTGCAGTATTTCCCCTATCTGGCATAGGAGATTATCATTCTGTAAAGGTGGCAATTTGGAATCCGTGGATTTAAAAGTAACCATGATGCATGTTCTATTACATGGGTGCATGGCTACTATAAAACCAGGGTATTCTTGAACTAAAATATTAAATTTCCTGACACTTTAATAAATAATATTCAGTAGGTTTAACTTGTCCTCTAGATTCTTTGCTGTGGAGGGCAGAAGGATTGAAGATTTATAGTACAACACCCTGCCCCTGCTGCTCTGCTTGAATCTGACAGACCATTTATTACCATCTCAGGGAGCAGTGTGAAGGACATATGCCCTTCTTCCAAAGATCTTGCCCTCGGTTTCTGTTTCTTCATTACTTGAATAAAAATCTCATTTATTTTTATACAAAATCAAAATATGCTTTTGTATTTATAGATGCAGAAATCAAAGTTACAGTCTTCAAAAAATGCTTTAAATAATCCTGACCAATGCTTTCCACTATTGTCTTTTAGTACTATTCATATAGTTGTAGTCCAAGAGCACAGTTATACTCCCATGGAAGTCAAAACTTCAGGACTGTACTAAGAATAGCAAATACCTAATATTCCAGATGCTGCCATGTGGTTTAAGACATTAATCTGGTTAATGTAATAGGATTTAAAACCTGCAGATGCTGAGCACCCTCATTTCCCAGTAAAACCAAGAAGCCCTAGCAAAGAGTCTGGGTGAACAGCTGTGAAAGCCTACCCCAACCTTGCAATTGATCCAATAAAAGGTATCACCCACAAAAATACTTTTCCCTGTGGGTGAACGTCAGTTCCGTATAGGGCAGGTACTAGATCGGGAGTGGGCAAAATACAGCCCGCGAGCCAAATCTGGCCCACGGGCCATTCTATCCGGCCTGCGGGGCCCCTAAAAAATGTACTAATTAATATTTATTCACACCCAGATGCCTATCAAAGCTGACAGGAGCCAAAGGCAGTAGGACCCAAAGGGAGCCCTCAGCAGGCTTGAGCAACTCACCCCGCCCCATGCCCAGCCAGTTCCCTGCTTTCCTGTCCCGCCCTGCTCCAGCACCACCTGGCTGTGGCTTCTGGCTGCATCACTGGACTGCGGTGCATGGAACCATGCTGGTACGGGGGGGGAGAGGTGTGTGTGTGCATATGTAGGCTCAGGGGCAGAGTGTGTGTGTGTGTATGCAGGCTCGGGCAGATGCATCTGTGTGTGTGCAGGCTCAGGGGCAGAGTTTGTGTGTGCAGGCTTGGGGGCAGAGTCTGTGTGTGTGCAGGCTCGAGGGCAGAGCGTGTAGGTGGTGGGTGCAGGCTCGGGGAAAAAGTGTGTGTGTCTGTGTGCAGCCTTGGGGGCAGAGTGTGTGTGTGTGTTCATAGGGTGAGTCCCACACGCATACCCCACCATATACATGCACCCACACCCCACCTCACACTGCAATACACAAGCCCCAGCCACCCTCCCCCCACATACAACCCCCCACAAACCCTGTACCCACCCATACCCCATATATCCACACCCACATGCTCCCTCACTCCACATACCCACATGCCCACAGCCCCCCACAAACCTATACCCACCCCCACAACCTATAAGAGTAAGACTTCATTTTAAGCTATGGTGTGATCACCTCTATGTATGTTATACAAACACATGTAAATCAAGACAAAAATATTTTTTTAATCAAATTAATTAATGTTTTAGATGTTCACTTTTTAGAATATAATTTGGTATTTTTCTGGTTCCGAGGTGGCAAAACCTCTTGCTGAAAGGAGTACTTCTGGGGGCAAGGGGAGGGACTTCTGGTGGCGAAGCTCAGGAGTTAGGGGTGGGACTTCCGGTCCCAAGATGGTGACCAGGGGGCTGAGCACCTATGAAGGGGCAGAGCTACCCATGTGGCCTAGTGCTAACATGCTTCATAAAGATAGCTTTCACCCTACATCTTGCCAGTAAGGACCCTTTGGTTCTGTATATTATAAGGATCTTGTTCATGTGATTTTGAGAACAGAATGTAAATGAAAATAGTAATGAAAGCACTGGTCAACCTCACATCTTTCTTACTGACTTTCCCAATATGTATTAGATTTCTCAGTTGTAATCCATGCTGTCTTGTTTATTAGAGCAAAATAACCTTTCTCCATCTCTTAGCAAGCCTTCTCTATGGCTATTATACTACAGTAACGCATTGCACCATATCTGTCTTACACAGCTCTTTCCCAATGCTTCCATTCTTTGGAAATGAGAAAATGCATTTTCTGAAGTGTCTCTTCCCTCTTTGCATTACTTTAGGAAAATGATAATTAAAAAATGTAAGCCTGTCCACTTACATATTTTTGCAGCAACATAGTTAGATTTGTTGGGAGGGGTTGGGGGGTTGGGGTTACTGTCCCACCTTGAAAGTTTTGAAGAATAGTTGAAACTGCACATATGTCTCTGGGTCTATATTGCTGGATATTTTTATTGTGCATACTATTTTTCCTTCTCACTTTTCTACCACACTAATCTTCAGTATGCTGCTGTTTTGCTTGCCAGCCTCTTGCCAACTTTGGTGGTTATAAACTAGCTGAAGTTCATTGGTTTTGAACTGAATTCCTCTGATATAAAATAAATGAGCGTGATTAAAGTTTGGAATTCCTAAATGCCACAAATGTAGGAACTAACAGCAGATGTCATTCAGTAAAGTGAACTCTCTCAGCAGATGGATATGAATTAAAAATGAATTTCTTTTCTTACTTCATTTGTTTTTAATATGATAGGGAAAATGCTATGTCAGTGAAAATAACCATAGACATTGCTTTGTAGTCATTTTGGTTGGTGGCTGCCAATTCAAAGTACTTTTGGCATTAAAATATAAATTATTTTGAGCCTAGCTGCAGTAATATTCATATGAAACTGGTTGAACATGCTGAACATAATTATACTGGTTCATAATTTCATTTTTGTTTTCATATTAATGTTTTATTTTTTTGTTAAAAAGAAGACATCAGTCCAAGAGACCCCTGGTCATCAAGTCCAGTTCTTTGTGAACCAGAAAACCACACCAGATAAAACCCACTGATTTCAATGAAGTCTGGTTTCACCCTTTGACTTTTTCCCTTTTGCAATGGCATGTGAGCTAGGTCTTGGCATATAGTATGGAATTGACCCTTTGACTTCTGTATGTCCAGGTCTAGCCCTGAGCTGCCAGGCACTGCACTTAATGGCTTATTTTGAAATGTAAATTTATGGCCTGATTTTCAGAAATGCCTCCTTAGCAGTTTTTAACATCAGTCCATTTATTTAAGTGCCAAAATGCAGGGATGGGTGCCTTAACATTAGACACCTAAGTTTGCAAATATTGGCATTTTCTCTTCACCAGTTGGCATACCTGTATCTTATACTGTATCTGCCAACTGCCAGGCTCTAAATAGACTGGATCCTTCATACATAAAACACAAGAAGAGTATATGAAATTGTGTATGGATGTGTAAACTGTTATGATATAGCAGCACTATCAGTATCACAGCAGAAGTGGTGCTGAACTGAGAGTTCCTTCTCTTCAGAATGGAGGTGGTCAGCATCAGACACAGTCCAGCTTTGGAACTTGCATTTTGGCCTTGGTCCTATATACCCAAATCTTTGATTTTTACAACATCGAGTTACACCTGTGTATGTTATTGGATGTTGAGAGATGGTTGAGTTGTACAACTTGCTTGTAGTTTGGGGAAGGTGGATCATTTTTTATTAATTTGATTGCTTGGCTGGTTGTTTATTATGTTATGTGAGATAAGGGGCTTTCCATTTCTGTTATGTTGATTGTTTCTAATTTGAATTATTAAATTTATTTTTTGTGACAACATCTAGAGGTCCCTGCATATAAATAAAAAATATATAAATATATTTGCCTACCTTGCAGCAATGCCATAGGGCCCAATTAATTTATTTTTTAAATGTGTTTTGAGATTCTTCAATGAGAGCCAAATGTTTATTATTAATTGCAGGCTTTAGTGAGCATACATTATGATTTTGGACTTAATTCTTTTTGTGTATCCTTCAAAATACTTCATTAGTTTATGGCATCTTTATGGTTCCTAAAGCACATTTTCCTCTTACAGAGCTTAAGGAATTTTGTACATATCTTCCTAACATTTTCTATATTTTGTTTTGGGTATTAGCAGTCTTCTAACATTCTTCCTTTAAATAATAACATATGGATTACTCTGTAATATGTAGGTTTTGTTTCAACATTACACATGCGCTTTTTTGAAGTGGGGGTGTTATGTAATTTATTTTGGCTTCCCCTGGGAAATTTATAGCAGATTACAGTGCTTTGCTGTGATTTATCATTTCTACTTTATTTCTGACTCGTAAAGCATGCATTAGTTTGTGCTTACCTTCAGCAACAGATCACAAGGAATTTCATCATCAATCAAAGAATTTTAAAATATGGAAAAGTGGTAATAGTGACAAGGGCTTAGTCAGAAGCTACTGTTCTTGAAGGATAATTTATCACTTCATTGTGTTATAACATATATAATTTTATTGCTCTTCACAGGGTCAGGTTCATGTCGCTTTAGTTACTCTGATCCCAGCATCATTGTGTCCTACACTAAGAATAATTCTGCCGACTGGAGACAGCTGGAGAAAATTAGGTTTGTTATTCTTTAAAAGCATTGCCATGCATTCTGACTCAGCAGCCGTTGGTTTTATTCAATTTTTACACAATGAATTTTTATAAATCCACTTTGATTGTGAATTTTTGGCTGTTGCTTTTATTAGATGTTTTAAAAATAAGGGGTGAACTCATGGCCCCATTCAAATAACAGCACTGATTTCAGTGAAGCAGAATTTCACCGAAGGACCTTGGGCACTTTTACATGTGCTCCGGGGGGAGGGGCGGGCATTTAATTAGAGCGCCGCAGCATCTCGTGTATCAGCGCCCCCATGCTGAAAAATGGCATCGAGGGGCACTTGAACTAAAGCTTGTTCAATGAGCTTTAGTTCAAGTACCCTTGCTCCCATTGTGCAGCATGGGGGCACTGATACATGAGATGCAGGAGGCTGCTGGAGCAAGGTAATTACCACACTCCAGCAAACTCAATTAATCAGGTCCACCAATTACAGTGTGTCAGAGCAGCCCCCCAGCACATCTACAGGCACCCCTTAAAACTAAAAGAGACAGGTTCTTTTAGGTGGGAAAAGATGGATTTGTGGTTAAAGTATGGGACTCAATTCCAAATCCTGAGGCCTTGGAGACTTCTTTTGCAACCTTGGGTAAATCTCTGTTCTTCAGTAAGTGTGTTAATGAGTGACAACCATCACTGGGCTGTGGATGAGGCCCAACTATAAACAGAACAGGGGCTGTGAGGCTTTGTTCTTAAATATTCATGAGGTATCTAGATACTACAGAAAGTCCTGTAGGTATTTCTTATTTAATGTAAAAAAACACAGCATACTATACTTTATATCAGTGCATGTTATCCATTTGAATAAAATCAGTTTGGAAATAAAAAATAAAATGTTAAAATTTTTAAAAACAAAGTCTATCATATTCGCTGATGTTTGTTATCAACTTCTATGCTCCACAAAAGCCAAGAAATACAGGTCTGCTGTGGGCCTCATAGCTATTTTACTATAAATGGCCAAAACTGCCACTGATTTGCATTTTAACACCATTTTAATCTCAGC